GTAGTAGTAGTAGTAGTAGTAGTAGTAGTAGTAGTAGTAGTAGTAGTAGTAGTATAAAGATGGATATCTTCTTAACATAGTGTTCCTTCTTTTTAATGAGAGCTGTTTCTTTTACGTAAGGCTTATCCTTGATGTTGTTATAATCCATTCACTACAAACAAAACAAACTTCTTCTGATTTTAGAGAGCATAAAAACTGAGCACTTGAATTTGAATTCATTACAAATAATTTTTGTTGTTTAATTGTGTCTGACTCTTCATGACCCCCTTTGGGATTTTCTTGGCAAAGACACTGGGGTTGTTTGCCATTTCCTTCTCTAGCTCATTTTACAGATGAGGCAAACAGGGTTAAGTGACTTGCCCAGGGTCACCTAGGTAGTAAGTGTCTGAGGCCGGATTTGAATTCAGGTCTTCTTGAGTCTAGGCCCAGTGTTCTGTTCACTTCACCACTTCACTGCCCCATTTCCAAATAATATATTAGAGATATTTATATCTTCATATTCTTCTTAAGAGATTTCTTTGATTAACCACTATTCATAAATTTTATTTGATTCTCTTTTTCATTTCTTCTTTTCCTTATTCTTTTTCCTTCTTTAATATATATCTTCCCCATAATGTCTGGTTCAAGAGAAATTTTTTTCTAAGCAAAACCTGTATTATCAAGATTACAAAGTATTAAAGATTACAGAGTTTTACTTTAAACTGTAGCTTCTGGTCTTCTTATAGGTTTTTGGATATTTTTATGTAAGAGTCTTCATTTTTTTATTTTGAGTCAAGCTTTAGTGAAGTAGAGATGTTTTATTTCAGCTTTTAGGGGCAATTCTTTATATTATTTAATATATTTTCTAAGTTAAAATATCTTAAAATTAAGCATTTTTACTTCTGAGGTAAAAAAAGTACTGTTTTGAAATCCTCAATAAAATTTGCGTGTGCTTTTCTCTCTCTCTCTCTCTCTCTCTTTTTTAACATAATGATTTACATTAAGTTAGTAATTACTACATAAGCTAATTAAAATAGGGAAAGTCTATACTGTATTAATAATCTTTCTCTCTTCAGATTGCAGCGATTCTCCGGAAACGAAAACTAGAGTATTACTTACACAAACTACTACCTGAGATCATACAATCCGCTTCATTTCTGACTGCTAATGGAGCCTTATATATGGCTTTCTTTTGCATTTTAAGGTTGGTACTCAGAATCAGTATTGAAAGTTTATGCAAGTGATTGTGTTAAAACTAGAATGAAGCAGAAATGTTCATGTGGTATTGTGTAAGTCATTTAAAAAAGTTTTTATCAGTAAAATGCTGTTTACTTATCTCAAAGAAATCTTAAGCTAAGTGCTGTGAACTTTGAATGAAGGTACAATGTGAATTTAGATTATAATTATGAGAGTAGATAACTGCCAACAGGAATCACTTTCTGGTAGTAATGACATGGTCCAGTGCATCATTCACTTACATATATTTGCCGAGAACTTGATCAGGCATTTTTAACTATCCTTTTTCATAGATGAGGAACTTAAAACAATTTTCCATGATATAGATTGAGTCTATGTGTAGTGAAGCAACTGAATTGATTTCAAACTCTTTGTCATAACTCAGTGATGTGAATTTTGGTCTTGATTCATTTTGCTTAGGGTCAAGTAGACCCTGTTTAGCAAGTTTGATATAGTAGAAATGCAGTTAATATCCATCTGTGAGCCCCATGGCACCACACCTTTGTCATTCAAAGTCAGTTACTCAGGAAGCATTTTCTTTTAAATGAGAAAAAGGTACAACTTCTCTTCCCCCACTCCCAATTTTAATAGTCTTAAACTATTTGTTGGAAATTATTCAAATTCCCTGCTGGGTTAGCACAGTAATTCTGTTCCTATATTTATACATGTTGAATATGGGACACTGGTCAAATGACATACTTAAGCCCTAGAGTAAAGTGATAACAGATATTATAAATGAACTTTTGACCTTTGTTTTATGTCCATATTAGTGCTTTTATTTTTTTCATGTACATTCTAATTGTAATTGAAAATTGAGTTCCCAAAAAGCCTTTTGTAATTTGCTGGCTAAGATAATTGAACTCTATGAGCTTTGAGATTGGCCAAAGAATAATTGATGTTAATCCTATTTCTTATTTAACTGCTAAAATCAACCCTGGATTAACTAAAAATTGCATAAGGATGTATTCTAGTTGTTAACAAAAAGGCTATATTATATGGATACTTTGTTAATACTTGTTGAAACTTTAAATTTAATCTTCAATGTTAAATAATAAATAGGTTTTAAACATATTAATAATGACTTGCTATTGTAGCATTTTGAATTATTAAGTGAATCCTTTTGATTAAGTCATGAGAATTTAGAGTACTCATAATTAATGTTACATCACATATTGTTCTTATAGTTGATTCATTAAGTTCAGGTCTTCTTTTAAAATTTGCAGTCATCTGTTAATTTCCCTTTGGCTTTTATGATAGAGGAGGAATTGTACCCTGAATTTTCCATCTTCCTAGAAAAAAAGATCTAGATGAAAAAATTATTAAAAATTAGAATATTATTCAAATTATGTTTTGTCCTCAACAAGCTTTTTTAATGCTTTTTTTTCTCAGGAATTCTGTTTTAGGGGAATTAGTTCATCTGAGCTTTTTGATTTATGCCTGTGGATGTGTTGATTTTTCCTGCCAGGGATCATTTGGTATTTGACTTTTGGTCATATACTTCCTTACAATTTTTTCTGTGCAAATTGCCCTTCAATCATGCTTATAGTGTCTTTGAAAGAATATCCTTACAATGTTTACAATCTTTTCAGTCCACTGTGGCATAGTTGACTTGGGAGTCATAATATGAGGCTTCAGATCTTTTCTCAAATACTTTTTAGCTGTGACCCTGGGACAAGTAACTTAATTTTTCTTTGCTTAGTTTCCTCATCTGTAAAATGGGGGTAGTAATAGCAACTACCTCTCTGGGTTGTTGGGAGGATCAAATAAGATAATTTACAGAAAGTGCTTCAAACCTTAAAGCATTATATAAATGTTATAAGCTATCATCATCATCATCATCATTATCATCTTTACTCTTTTGAAATAATCAGGAATTCTAACATTCTCTAGCTTTTGCTGCTTCTATCCCCTACTTTTCTCTGGAATTATTTTGTATCCTGTGCCTTTTCGTCATTGTTACAACTTTCTCTTATCATATTTAGCAGCATCTACTGTCCCTAAAGATAAGATCCTATTTGTATTTCTTCATTTTCTAGGAAACAGACCCTTCTTTAATGAGATGAGTAGTGATACATTAGGTTTGTACATAGAGCTTGCATACCACCCCTCTACTGTATTTGAAACTAACACTCCCTGTATATTATAATGCTATGGAGGCATCGTTCCTAAATTATAAATCATGTGACCTAACATCACAAAATAAGTACTTATTCTATGACGAGTAGAACTAAGATTGATTCTCTAGCACATTTTTCATAGAAGCTGTCTTAGACCTTTTCTTCTTGCCTCAAACTTCCCACATAAACCTCTCCTTCCTCCCTCCCCTACCTTTTTATTATTATTTTTTGAAATTGGGTCTCTCTATCCTACCTAGTCTGAAGAGCACTGATCACTTGCAGCTGGCCCAGTCTGACTGTTGTTAAATGGCATAGAAACTTTGATCTGCTCCATTTTAGATGTAGGTTGATTCACTACTCCTTGGCCACTTAGTGGCTGCTCTCTCCTAAGGGTCTTGTCATATTGGTGCCAGATTAGTTTGGATATCCGATAAACTTTACCGTAACTTAGAAATCCTGAATTCAAATTCACAAGCCTTAGTGTGGCACTACACCTGGCCTCCCTCCTCCCTTTAGAAAGAAGAACTTGCTTCATACTTTACTGAGGGGAGGTGATTAACTATGACCTCTCTTTTCTCATGCTCTCCATTTCAAAACACTTTGATATCATCTCCCATTCTTCCCTCCTTTAATACATAGGCCCTGTCCTTGCCAAGACCAACTCTTATTATTTTCTTTCCTCAATAGACCTTTTTTCCCCCCTTAATAATGTTTTTTTTTTCCAATTACATGTAAAGATAGTTTTCAGCATTCCTTTTTGTAAAATTTTGAGTTCCAAATTTTTCTCTCTCGCTGCCCCCTCCAAGACAGCAAGCAGTCTGATATAGGTTATATATGTTTAATCATGTTAAAATGTTTCCACATTTGTTATGTTGTGAAAGAAGAATCAGAACAAAGGGAGAAAGAAAAAACTAAAAGCCAAAAAAAGTGAAAGTAGTATGCTTTGATCTGCATTCAGACTCCTCTTACTCTGAATGTGGTTAGCCTTTTCATTTCTTTTCTTTTTTTCTTTTTTTTTTTTGGCTAGGCAATGGGGTTAAGTGACTTGCCCAAGGTCACACAGCTAGTAAGTGTTATGTATCTGAGGCTGGATTTGAACTCAGGTACTCCTGAATCCAGGGCTGGTGCTCTATCCATTGTGCCACCTAGCTGCCCCCCTGGTTAACCTCCATCATGAGTCTTTTGGAATTGTCTTGGATCATTGTATTGCTGAGAAGAACAAAGACTAGACCTTTTTCCAATGATTGATACTCTGCCTAGACTCGTGCCTCATTGGTTAGCATTCTTCCACCTCCTTTTACTCTTCCTGATCCCAGTGATTCTGACCCTCAGCGACTGTTGTACAAACTCTGTTCCCCATACCAGATGCCAACTTTCTTGTCCCCCTCAACTCTGCTCTCCTTACCACCCCCCATGTGCCTCTCCAAATCTGTCTGACTCTTCTATAATGCTTTTTCCCATATCATCAACTGACTATTGGACAACATTTTCAACTGGATGTTCCATAGGAATCTCTAAAACAGAACTTATTATTTTTCCTTCTAAACCTAGCCCTCCTCCCAACTTTCCTGTTTCTGTTGAGGGCACTACCATTCTTACTATAGCCCAGATTTGAAACCTTAAAATCATTATCAACCCTCTCCTCCCCCATCCCCTCATCCATTCAGTTGCCCTCATCCCCTGTTTCCTCTCCTATTATAACAGACTCCTAATTGTTCTTTCTGCTTTCATCCAGAGTCTTCTCTCTGCAGTCCATTTTCCATACTTGCTAGTACAGTGACTTTCTGAAGTATAGGTGTGGTCATATCACTCCTCTTCATGAAGTTCTAGCGACTTCTTGTTGCTTCTAGAATAAAATACAAACTCCTCCCCAGTTTGGCATTTATAGCCCTTCACATTTTGGCTCTTCCTTTCAATGATTTTTACATTATTCCTCCTCATGTCTTCTTTTTGAGGCAAGCTGATAAATCTATTCTAAGTGCATGGCATTTTGTTCATTCTTTGGGCCTTTACGTGGCCTTTCCCTTAGTTTTGTAATTCAGTTCCTTTTCACCTCTTTCCCTTTGCACTCCTGGTATCCTTTAAAGTTCAAGTGGCTCAAGTGCTGCCTCTGGATGAGGCCTTTCCTCATCTTGCCTTCTTCTCAGCTCAGATTATTTTGTATTTTCTGGTAATGTAAACTCCTTGGACTGAGCTTATTTGCTTTTGGTATATCTAGTGCCTAACACAGTATGTGTGTGACACATACTGGGCGCTTAATAAATACATGTCAAGTTATTGCTACTGCAATAAAATACAAATTACTTTTCCTAGCTTTTACAAATCGTGGAATTTCTAAATGTTTGCCTCCTATGAATTTCTGGGTGCCTTAATCACTATTCTTTCTATACCATAGCTGCTTATCTTAGTATCTTGCTTTCACAGTCCAACTTGTTTTTTAGAAGTATTTCACATTACTTCTTTCATGACTAAACTTTTTTTTGAGTTTATCTTGCATTCTCCTGATTCTCTGCCTTCTTATTACCTGTTTTCCACACTTGGAGTATACTCTTTCTAAATCTCCACCAATTAGAATTCTTTTCTTCCTTCTACTATTAATTTAGATGCTATCTTGTCTACAAAGCCTTCCCTACATCCCCGCCTCCAAGCTGAATGTGATTGATTTTTCTTCCTTCAGATTTTCTTTTTAACAATTTTTTGTGGGATTGCCCATATCATCATCAACCTTTATTATTCTTGTTTTTATACAGTGTATACTTCTGTTAGATTGTAAGTTTCCTTAGGGCAGAGACTGTATCACTTTCATTCATTCATTTGTGAGTCAGCATCTAATAAGCATTGATTAAGCATGTACTATGTGCCAGGCACTGTTAGGTGTTTGGTATACAACAACAACAGAAAATAAATAGCCTAGATTATTAAGGAGCTTACATTTCACTGTAGGAAAAACCTAGAAAGCTAAATGCAAAATATATGCAAAGTAATTTCTTAGAGGAAGGCTCTAACTAAGCTAAACTTTGAAGTAAGTTTCATTTTTATATTTCCAGTACCTAGAACAACATCAGTGTTTCTGTTGAATTGAATCTTGCTAGGCTATCTTCATCCATTATTCTATCAGACATGAATGCGTATATGTGCATATTTCCCTTTTTAGGCTGAAAGTTATGCTTGAAAGAAATTATGTATAAAAACCTGCTTGTTTTGATGACTTTTCTAAGTGTTAAATGACTTTTATCAATGGAAGTCAAATCTCTGCATTATATATGTATTAATAGTTTCTAAAAATCAGATTTGGTTTTGTTGTTATGTAAATTTTCAATTTGAATTTCAGGAGGATACTTGGAAAATTCTTCTCCTGGAGTCCTGGCTTTGGTGCTGCTTTACCAGCTTCTTATGTGGCTATTCTTATTGAAAGAAAAAGCAGGTATATTTTATCTATATTCTTTATAGCAGCTAATTTTTAAATTGATTCCCCCAACAGTAATTTTTGTTAATTATTTATTGTGATTTCAATAAGTTTTTTCTGTTGACGAAAAAAATGATTTTTGTCTTTTGCAAATGTTTTTATTCGGCATTAAATTTATTTGAAGCTTCAACTTTCAAGTTTCTTTCTTCAAGGTGGTAGAATGCTAATAACTGCCGATCTCTTACTTCCTGAAAATTTAGAGACTTGGTAGATCTGAATTCTCATCTTGCTGTGCTTTAGGATGAGTTAATTAATTTAAAAACAATTTGATTTTATATAATTTATTTCCCTCATCATAAAGTATTGTGTTGTTATGATTGAATGTGATCCTGTGGGAATTTTCAAAAATTTTCCATGTTGTTGCAAACGATTTTGTTAGTTAAATGAGGTCACAGTTTGGCATAGGAGCTACTGGCTTTGGAATCAGAAGGCCAGGGTTCACACCCCCATCTGACCCCTTCTGGGTGACCTTGGTTAGCCAGGGCACTTAACCTCCCTGACTTAGTTTCTTCAGCTGCAAATGGTGGGGCCTGGATTAAATGGCCTCTGAGGTCTCCTTTAGAGAGGCAACCTTTTGCTTGGTGGTACTATAAGAAAATATTTTTTAAAAAATATTTAAAAATTTAAAAAATTTAATAACTACAGCGTTTTAGCTACTCTAAAGAATAGCCACAGTATAGAAAGAAAAAGTAACGACAGAGATAACCACTAATTTATAGGAGACAACATCTAAGAAAGGAGCAATAAAACCCATGGCTTCAAATTTTGACTCAGAAATAATGGGTAATGAGCAAAATGAACTAGATTCTTATGCAAGGAGGCAAATTTGACCTCTAGGTATTTTTTTAATTAAAAAAATTAAACAAAATTAAAAAAACTCTTTAAAATCACAAATAAACAAAAACTTAATGCTTATTAGCATTGAGTTTTTATTGAGAACTGATTTGAGTTCTTTTAACTATGGCAAAGCCTTAGTTTTAGATAGCTAAGAGCATTGTATGTTACTAAAATTACTATAAATATATTCTTTTAAGGAGTTTTTTTAGGTGACAAAACTCTCTTAAAATGATTGAAATCATGCTCATAATATACTACCATTAATATCCAAATTGTGTTTTTCCTATTCTGAAACAACTTTTCCTTTTAGTTAAAGATTTTTTTCTTTATTACTGGAAAGAAATAACCATTGCAAATTGTATAGCAGAATGTTAACCATTAGAAAAATTGCAGCTTTCTGGATAAAGAATATTTTTTCCAGATAATTTTTAACATTTCTATTTCTGCACATTGACTTTAAAATGTTTTATTGATAATGTAATTACATGAGAAATAAGCATCCAAAGTTAAGTGTGCTAATTTTCATTGATTGCTGACATTTAGGTTGATTTGCATGATGTGATAATTTTTAGGAAAAATTAACACAAATGACGATATTTCTTTGAAGTTATCAATCTGTTTGCATTGTGGGAAGGATAAGATCTATCACTTCTAATAGCTGATTATTTGATTGTAGTCTATAGTGTTTCATTACGTGCTTAAGAAAAGTTATTTAATTAAAAAACATGTGTACTAATGTGATGAAGATACTTTTTTTTTTACAAGTACCTCCTTAGCTATAGGTTTGGAATTTATTTTAAGGTAGCCCAAAACTGTTCTTTTCTTTAAATTGCTATAAAAATTAAAATGCTCATTTATGATTATTTTTATTTATGTGACTTATCTTGTTATTTCTCTGTGTTGTTACCATGCAGATGTGTTCCTAGTAATTCTTCTTCTATACTTCATTGTCTTTTACAAAATAGCTATTACATGTAGTCTCAGAGCTATAATCATTTAGTGTTTTTAGAATAGATGAATAGTAGATGAAGTACTTTGTCAATGATAATTTTGAAAATCATTGATCATCAACTTTGAATATGAATATCAATATTATGAATTTATGCCTAGGAATTTACTTTTGATTGAGTGACTTTTGATTTCACCTACTGAATATAAAATCTTCTACAGACAAGGTTACCTAGGACTTATTCATGTAGTTTTAAAATATCTCTCCATATTGTTCTTACTTCAAGATGACTGGATATAATACTTTGATACTGTAATTCATTATTTCATGAATATGGCACTTTCTACATTAGTGAGATCACAGTTCATTTGTCCTTTTTCATTCCCTGTAATTCTTGTCTATGTCTTTCTATAAATCCTATAAATTCTATAAATCTATAAATTCTATAAATCTGTAGAGAGTATCTCCCACGAATTGTAGGACTATTAGGTCTTTTAATAAATATTTTGTGGATGATAGTGTAAAAGGCTTTTCACTTGTTATACTATGGTATTATGTGATATGACTAGCTTATATTTTCTGCTCATATCTGTCCCCGTTCATAACTTTTCTGATACTTATGTAGAAGTCATTGTTGATAATATGCTTATACTTAACCATATATCTTTCCTTTCATCTTTGGGTCCTTTGTAGTTCTCTTCTGACTTCATATTTGTTCCAGTTTACTACATTGATTTTGGCATTTTCAAAAGAGGTTTCACAGAATAATTAGATGTTTTTGATAGTTTTTTTAATTCACACAGTGGAAGACTATGTAACTTTACTTGGGGCATGTAAGGGTGTCTCACTGAAGGGGAAGCATTATTCCTATGTGAGTTCTTGGGAAAAGATGGAATGTACCTAATGAGAGCTGATAAAAGAAGTTTTTATATATACTTTTATGAATTGAATTCAAAAGGACTTTTAAGCTGAAAAAGGAAGAGAGATAGTGAGAACTGCCTCAGTATCTGTAGCAAGTAACAATAGTGATAACCCGCAATTTGTAGGAAATGACATCCGAGAAAGGAACCAGCAATAAAACATGTGGCTTCAAATTTCCATATGGAAATAATAGATAATGAGAAAAATGAACTAGATCCTTATGTAAGGAGACAAATTTGACTTCTTGGAATCCCTGAAATTTGGTAGGATGAGTCCCATGACTGGACTATGGTTCTGGAAAGGTAGTTCTTATTCACAAAGACCAGAAGTGATAAAAGTGTATGTGAATAGGATGCAGAGTAACAGTAAGTTAAAGAAATATAAATTTGAAGAAATATGGATGAGTGAAAGGAGAAACAAATCATGTCATGAGAATATATTATAGGTGCCTGAACAGAAGGAGAAAATAGATTTTGAGAATTGGAACACGAACTTTTCAAGGAGATATTAATGGAAGCTTTCAGTAATCTAAACGTCTGTTGAAGCTCTCTCTGCCAAAAGCACAGTAGTTACTAATGTTGTTTGTCATGCTATATAATGGTAATTTTATCCTTCAAATAGGCTAAACTTCTTCGGGCCACAGATAGGTTAGACTAGAGACAGACTGAGGATGGTTGGTTGCTGCGGGTCATGTGACAAATAGAGTGTGCAGCAGCAATCCTACATTTTTCTTGGGCTGCTGGAAATCCTTTGGTGGGCTGTATGTTATACAGGCCTGATATATAGGAGGAAAAGAGGATTCAGGACAGAGCCTTAGGTGACACCCAAGGCACAGGCCTGGTAACAGGTGGTAACTCCGGGTGAAAGGGTGTGCGCAGAAAAGTAATTTTTTTGGACATGGTTCCAAATTGCTTTTCAGAATGGCTGGATCAATTGATGGCTATACCTGCAGTGCTTTAGTGTGCCTGTATCTCCCACAACTGCTCTAATGTTTGCCATTTTCTTCTTTTGCCACCTTTGCCAATCTGATAACAATCCATTTTTGGTGCTTTACACTAGCTGTCTTCTGTGCCTGGAATGTTCTGCCCCCAAACCTCTACCTCTTACCTTCCCTGGCTTCCTTTAAGATGTGGTTCAGATCTTAGCTTCTGTAGGAGATACTTCTTGGTCCCTCAGATGCTAGTGCCTTCCTCTTTAAGATTACCTGCCATCTGCTTTGTATATTGTATTTTGTATGTACCTAGTGATTTTTATGCTTGTCTCCCCGGTTATACTATGAGCTCGTTGAGGATACGGACAAACATGTTTTTGTGTCTCTAGCTAGTAGCATAGTATCTGGCACGTAGAAATCACTTGATAAATGCTTGTTGGCTGACAGAGGGAGTTCCCTTTATCTGTGAAATCATAAGTCTATTTCCTATTATTGGTACGAATGGACTCCCACCATTGAATTTTGGTTAGTAGCATACAGAAATGGCTTTCATATAAGACACTCCTGCAAGATATATCTAAAGTAATATATTATACTGTAAATATACCCCAGCATAAAACATTTCTCACAGTTTGGAAAACTGAAGTATGTTACTTATATCCTAAGAAGTCAGTGTACTAGCTTCTGCTTCCAGGAGCCAAGATGGCGGAGTAAAAAGGTAGTTGCTCTCATCCTCCCCTATCATCCTCTGAAAACCCAGAAAATATCACCCCAGAAAAAACCCTGGAACAGCTGAACCAGAAGAAAGACGGGGTATAGCAGTGCAGTAGCCCAGGTAGCTAGAGGGATTACCCTGGGGCAAGGGGAGCACTATAAAACAGGAGTTGCCCAGCCCGCTAGTGGAAAGACCCACTTTAGCATGCCAGGAGGAGATTCTGGTGCCTTGGCATTCTACAGCAAATGGGTCTCCCAGTGCCTCAGCAAAAATAAGGGAAGCAGCACTACAAAGAGCCCCAGGCAGATAAGCACCCGGCAGCATTGGTCTGAAAGGAGCTGAAGAAAGCAACCTAGAGTTGCCCAAAAATTCCAGCCTTGTTGATTCCAGTCCAACACCAGGTAAGCTGTCAGAACCCTGCAGCCTCCAACTGCCAACCAGGAGGAGATCCCGAAGCCTAGGTGATCGAGCAGGCAAACACCAACAGCTGTACCTCCGAGTGCTTCAGTGAGGGTGGGGTAACTGGTGGAAACCAGCTCAGAAAACCACCAGGTGCCTCGGCATTCTACAGCAAAGAAGTCTCCCCATACCTCAACAGAAATAAG